ATTCTCGGCCTCGACTTCTAGCTTGCGCTTCAGCGTCTCATTGTCTGCCTCGAGACCGGCCAAGCGTGAACTCATGCGCGTGGGACGGCTTGGCTCGCGTTTTATTTGGTCGCCGCGGCTCTTGCGCTTTGGGGGTGCAGACTTGGCGGGTTTCGGTTTATCCGGAATAATCTTCTTCGCCGTGACGGAAATGTCGGTCAAGATGGCGCGGTTGGCGGCGATATTTTCTAGTCGCTTGCGCTCAAAGGCGCTCATTTCGCCCGGTTCCTTCTTGACGGGCATTTTGGCGGAGTGGAAGAGTCTGGTTGAAGCAATGAGCAATCGCGTATTCGTTTCCTTGACGCGAAATTCGACTGGGCCAGCGATAAGTTGTAATTCAGCAATTTCTCAGCTTGGCATCTTGCATTTGTCTCTGCCGAGGCGCCCTTGATTCAGTCGCCAATTAACGCGCCTCGCCGTCGCGTCGGCTTTAATGGGCGGCGCGAAGTCACGCGCTGACTCGACGCCCGCATATCCGAGAATTAACCGCCCATCCGTTTTGTCATCCTTTTCTGGATCCATGACAACTTTCATCATGAGCTTGCCATTCGATATGAGATGAGTTCAGCTTGATGGCACCTACCAAACATGTCATCGACACTTTTGCCATTCTTGTACCAAACAAGGACTCTGCAGAGAGCCATTTGCGTACAACCCGTGACGCAGTTCATCCGCCTTGCTCACGCACCTGCAAGGCCCAAGTCCCGGAGACGAGACAACTTTATCCCTTTCGAGTGGGACCATGACACACCCTATGAAGAAATAGCGAATGTGCCTGGCCAGCAATCGACGATAACGCCGTCGGAAGCGGAGATTTTCAAGGGCATATTTGATGAAATTGCCCAGGGGAAAATGCCCGTGGTCAAGAACCGGCCCACTCCATCGGAAGGCATGCAGATCCAAAACGAAAATTCTCAAGAGTCAAAACCCGGCATGGCACGATCCATAGTTGAGCAAGCGCGTGTGATGGAGTTTCGGGAGAAATTTCTTGGACGATATCCGCAGTCATTGAGAAACGCTGCCCAAGTTGCACTAGGATTGTATGAGTTGGAGCCAAGTGCTTCTTCAGCCAGTGAGATGGTGGAGTTGGAAGAGGCAGATCAGGCGAAGTGGGAAGAGCGTGCAAGATACGAACGCGCGCGAGTCGAGGAGCGCGAGAGGGTTGATGGCTTGATGAAGGCTTGCACGACGGACGGTGAGCTGTGGGCCGTCATGGAGAAGGAAGTTTTCTCACTGCCAGCGAAGCTGGGCATTGTGCAGCGCAAAGCAGTGAGGGCCAAAAACAAAAAAGTCAAGGATACAAAGAAATCAGATACAAACACAGACGGGGAGGAGACAATGGAATCAACAAGAACCGCAGACAGCAAGGAGACAGCAGAAGCAGCCAAGAAAACAAAGCGCAAGGCTAAAGGGGAAACAGCCGGAAACGCAGAGCCCAAGGCTAGAGAAGAATCGGCCAGGAACACAAAGGCCAAGGGCCCCGAGAAATCTGCAGCTGCTGGAAAGCCTGCAACGCAGGCCACTGCCGACGAAGAAAAGCGTGTAATGGACGTCCACGGCCCTCTATACCCGTACTTTATCAACACAGCCATGGGCCTCTTCGACAGTGCATTCGCTCGACCATCCGACTACGCGTTCCAGATCCTGCCTCGTGTCAAAGAACTCGGTCTACCATCTTATGTGCTGGGCGTGTCTACACCATTCTACACGCGACTCGCCCGCATGCACTGGAATCGATTTGGCGATGCCAACTCTGCGCTAGACGTACTCCAGGAGATGAATTCCGCAGGACTATACGCGGACAAGGATGTTCACGACCTCTTAATTACCATTCGTGACCACTTGCATGGATGTACATGGGGTGCGCAAGGGCCGTTTGTCATGGGCATGATGGAGGCGCCACCGTATGATGGCATGTTGACACAGCGATTAGAGGAAATGGAGAGGTACGCGGTGCAGTCGATGAGTCCATCGGGTGAGCAGGCCGAGTTTGCAGCCTAGAGACGGGGTTTGTACGATGGTGCACTGTGGTGTATAATAGTGTATTATAGATTCTACTCCAAATAGACTAATATTGAGAAATATCTTGGGAATTGCTTCTCTATTCGGTTATGAGATTCTTTTTGTACAGAGTTCCGCCCGTTGGCTGCTACAAATCCGCACAGGTACGGTCTTGCTCTCATGTAGTGCACTCAAACTTTTGCAAGCAGGTATGTTGTATTGGCCTGGATGCCAATATACACTATGTAACTTCCTCATGTAATAGTAATTATATTCTTAGTTGTTAATATCTCGAAGTCAATTGACGTACTGCCGGCAAGCTTGTTAAAAAGGTTCCAATTTACGCATCTATGGCTTGGAGCAAAATAAGAGGGCATCTGGTGAGCGTATTCATGTTTGTCGGTGGGCAAACGGAAAGCCTTGAGGCCACGCAGACGACGTACCCAGGGTCCCCCCAGCATTGTGCAACAATGTACAGGGATAAATCTAGAATCTATCTGCTTGCTTCACCTCATTCACCTAGCTGTGGCGTGTTACATTTGTCGTAACCTCTGAAGCCTTGTTCAAGTGACGGTGCACTCGCAGAAACCTTTCCGTACAAGTTGGTTGCTCGCTCGGAAAAATAAGTCAAGCATTTCGTGCTGCCAGCTTAGAAGCTCCCTGACCTATAGATACAGCCACCAGGCGCAAGACACAATCCGTTTGAAGCTTCTGCCTTCTGACTTGGCATGCATGTCTTTCTTGCGTGTAACACTAATAGACGCCCGATATTAAAGCACAGCCGACTTGGCCCCTCAATAACCATATCTCCAACGATGCAGATGCTGTGCAGAACATGAGAATTCATAAGCCACTACCACAACGCCTGTAGGTATCTAACCCGAGTGTAGTCTGCTGGCTATCTAAATCCTTGTTAAACAACCGTCGCAGATCTTGGAACATTCCATGGGCGCGAGTGGACTGGGGGGGGGGGTCTCTCTAACGTGAGCTCAGAGCAGGAAAACCAACCAGGCTGTTTGTACCGATTAAACGTAACCCGGTTCCGACCCACGTTACCACTGGTCTAATGAGCCAAGAACACTACCCCGTAGCCAAACCAGGGACTGAGCTCGGGAGTCATCCATACCGGGGATTGAGGCTTTAAACCTCGCCGATCGATTATCATTGGTTTATACGACACCGGAGAAAAGGGTTTGAGATCGGCCACCGATACTTGCCAGCGAAGTTGATCCAGACTAGCTACCTTCGTCTTCGCCGGTCTCACTCTAAGGCGAAGATAAGGAAGAAGACCCTGAGGTGCCTGCTATTCGGGCATTTGGACCAGACTTACAGCCTGCAACACCGACCTTAAGCCGGAACATAAGTGACGTCAATGTTTTCGCCCTTTAAACCGATCGCTTCTCACATGTTATTATTGAGCTCTCTAGTCAGGTGTTACACATCGCGTCGGCCGCCGTCAGATGGCACCAGCACCCTAACCGCTAATGAACCACAACCAAGGGACACGTCTACGATTTCTCGATCGCTATGTCCACGCTATATTCGACCAAGAAACCCGGGGTGGTGCCGATTTTCTTGCCAGGCAGGGCAAGGTGTATCGAAAATAACTCCAAGCGTAGTTTGGGATAGAGCTTGGCACGCATATAAGGCTAACCCCTTGAAGAGGTTCTTTTGATCTCTGGGCGTATTAATAGTGAATTTGCCTAGATGCACCCCGTACTATTAGTGAATTTTTCGCCTTGTTCGGGTGCAGGTATCACGGTCTAAGAGCACGAACAAGGTCTAGTGCGGCTTGGATAAAGCGATTGTTCACAAGAAAAGTAAAAGCTTCCGAAGAAGGTCTGACTCGAGCTATCTAAGTCTTAAAGTGGAGCCGTTCTCTAACAGCATCGTACGATTCCGGCTGTCGGGACTACCGAAGAATGCTTTTCTGGATTCACCAGACACTGCCACCATATGCCACACGCAGATTTGCGTTCGCCATTTATTTTCAAAGTACGCATGTCGTAAAGTGCACACCGCCGAGTTTATACGTTTCCATTTCTCCTCATGTACATGTAATCTGGCCTAGATGCTGCATCTACGGCTCTGACCGCTCCTTGGTGCAGTACTGCATCATAATGTGTCCTTGTGCATAAGCCCGCTCTTTGATAAAGGGGTCACTGCCATGTAGCAACAGGACAGGTGGCACGGGGCATCGCCCTGCGCAAAGCAAGTCGCGTAGAGCAAATCCGTCACCAGCAATACAACTGGCCCATACGACATGCAATTCCAACATACAACGCCAAGGGGGATCGGCCAAAACTCGACGCCAATGAGCGAGCGGCAATCAAAGTCTTCATGTAGATGACACAATCCCACAAGTCCCATCACAACGGTCTTTTCTTGTACGGACGCCTTATTTTTCTTTACTTTATGCACAATAAGCACAAGGCTGAGACTCAATGGGAAACACAGTCAAGTCTGCCTTGTGTATGGAGCAGTCAAGGACCTTACGAATGCTGCTAAAAGGGACCAGGCTGTGCCGTACGGGGCACAAAAATAAAAATAAAACAAAGCCAACTCCACGCCAATGGATACTTGGGCGCCGGGCAAATCCCACGACCCTAGTAAGGAATAATATCAATATAGCCGGGCAACCAACTATTCAGGCAACTGCCAGTTACTAACGCTACAATATCGTGCGACAATGGTAATATTGCAGCTCGTATTTGCCGAGTCATGGATTCGGACTCCGATCCTATCAGCTCGCTACTGCCGTTGTTGTGGTTTCTCCAAAATTCTAGATATAATAGGGCAGCTCGGCGCCTATTTGGTTTGCAAGTTTGTTGATACGCTCTCTACTACACTCGCTCCAGTCAGCTATTACAGCCTCGTTAGTTCTACAAGAGCGCCGTTGAATTTATCCCATCTTGCCATTCGCTACATTGTTTTATTACCTTGTATCTCTTTTTTTCAAAATGAAGGTCTCTCCTATTCTCGCTACTGGAGCGCTCGTCGTCTCCGCCATTGCCCAGGGCGGCAGCCACGTCTCTGGCCGTACCCCTTCTATTGCGAGCAAGTAACTCTTGATCAACGGATTTTAATCATGTCAAGTTGTTAATATCTTACAGACTACGTCGAAGCACCTCGCTGCAACGGCCCTGACTGTGACGCCGCCATGGCCAAGAGAGCCGACGGCCAGCCGGGAGCCCCCGGCAGCGCTGGAGGCGATGGCACTCCTGGAGCTCCCGGCAGCGCTGGAGGCAGTGGCACTCCTGGAGCTCCCGGAGCCAGCGGCGGTCAAGGCGGTGCTGCCAACACAGGCACGGCCACCTCTGCTGCCACCAGCACTTCCGTCACCCCCAAGGCCGGAGCCAACGGCGCTAACGGCAGCCCGGGAAACACCGGAGGCGCGGGGGCCGCCGCCACCAAGGCAAGCACTGCTGCCTCGACGACCAGCGCTTCCGCCACCGCCAAGCCCGGAGCCAACGGAGCCAACGGAGCCAACGGATCCAGCGGCAGTAAAGGAGCCAACGGGGGTGCAGGAAGTGCTACCAAGTCAGGAACCAGTGCCTCGGCTCGCAGTACTTCCCAGACGTCTGGTGCTGATATCAAGACCATCAGCGTTGCTGCTATAGCTCTTGCTGGATTCGCCGCTCTCATGGCGTAAGAAATACTACTACGATCACCAATGTAGTGGAGGGTCGCGGCATAATAATAGTCAAGTGTAATTAGTTTCGCTTTAGGTGCCGCATGTTGGGCTGTCGTTTTCCGTTAGTGAGTAGATTTGACTAGATAGAGAATTTAATACCTGTATATCAAGTACATTTGCTAGTAGTTGCGTTGGAAATATAAACAAGGAGATAGGTGTAGTAATACTACCACTCAGCTCTGCTGTCTACAGTTCCATGTTTCAGTCACGCTGACTGCTCATGTGGTGAGCAACCAGCGATACCGCCGATTTGCGTGCAGTATAGTTAGCGGATTAAGAGGTGGAATCAGTTGAACCCACTTGGCGCAAGGCAATTTCGCGGCGAAACGGCAAAAATCGGCGCTGCTCTAGGGTAGCCCATGTCACTAACACATCAATTACAGTTGGAACTTGCTCTGGCCTCTGACGAGATTGTCGATGTACTGCATGTGTGCTATACAAAGTGGCAAATTTACGAGAGAGGGAGCGGTTGCAAAAAAGGTGAGCTGTTGTCTGATCCAGGGACTTGGTGTTGACAAAAAAGCTGCATGGTATCACTGAGTAGATAGTTTTCTTCTTGGAGGACCTCATCTCACCCTGTCAAAAGTTGCTTTGGAGTGTTTGACCGAGAGATTTTTAACCAATGCCATTTCCGACATTGTCTAGGACACAGCCCTGCGAGGCGGACTTATTTCTGATGGCTCATCCCGCCGTGACGTCTCAGAGCGGGTGTCTGGGTGAAGCATCGCATGTTGGGAAGGACGACTTTGGCGCAATCTGCAATGCTACATCTACAGTGGTGAAACTTGAAATGCGGCCGTCAGTCAGAGCAGATGACAGAATGAATGCACAACATATAAGACATGGACAAATAGAATTAGAATAGCTGCAAAAATGACAGAGGTATCAACTGCACGACTACTGTGCATAATAAACCAACCACCAACCTATTATCCCTGGAACCGCGTCCCATTAGCCCGTCCACTCCAGGTATCAATTCGAATGTTGTTCATTGTTCACACCAAAGGCCCATGAACCCCCTTCGTAAATGAGCGTCCTTAACCAGTCTTGGGGGGATACTGCATCTCGTTGTTGGGCTGGTACTGCTGCTGTACACCGGCGCTCAGGAGCTGCTGCTCGCGGTGCTCGGCCTCCTTGTCCTGCTGGATCAAGCTGCAGCAGTGGCAGCAGCACGAGGTGAGGATGTCCTCGAGGCACGAGCCCTTCAAGTTGTACTTGTCGCGGATGTTCATGCGCTGCATGGCCATGGGGATCCAGTGAAGACCAAAGCAGCCAGCGCCGCAGAAGAGGAGGCACTGTTTGCCAGACTGTTAGTCGTGTATCGACACATGTTTTCTCACCTTTTTTGTTGTTCAACGACGTACAGAGGTGTTGATGGGCTCGTATCCATCCAGGTTACCATTCTTGCGGACGCGGTGGTGAGTCTTGCCAAAGGTGACGCATGGCAGGCAGTAGGTGATTAAGCAAGTGTCAATGGGGTTGAAGCAGTCGAAGAAGCCGGCGGCCCAGGACTGCGCGCTCTCCGGGGACTTGGAGTTGACGACTTCTCCAGAGCGGGAGAGGACATGGTTGAAGCGGTTCTTCCAGTCGTCGAGGTCGGCTTGGTCAACAGGTCCGTTGTTGGCAGGTTGGGCGGCAGCCGGGGCTGGAGTAGGCGCCGGCTGCGTTGTGACGGGGACGTGTTCTTGAGGAGCGGCCATTGTGTAGGAGCGGTATGGGGGTATCGCAAAGAGAAAATGAAGGAAGGTCAAGAAGGAAAAAAAGAGGGTGAAAGAATACTGAGTGGCGTGACCGGCCTTGCGACAACAGGAAACACGCTTTATATAACTACGGGAGCGGACAACCGTTCAAGGGGGGCCCAAACCCATATCCACAAAGAAAGAGATGACAAAAAGGAAAAAAAAGACCACAACCTGAGCTCACAACAGAGCCGGCTTGATGCAGTCACAGTCACTGTCTGTGAGCCTAATGACAACGCCAGATTCAGCCTCAGCCCAGTCACCAAGGCATGCAGCCCGCCGCCATCACAAGCATGGGCTGAGCAAACGCCAAACGCCTCTCCACAAGTGCCGGCGTGCTCTTTGACCGTTTCAACCCTGCCGTTAGCAATGCCATGTTCTTGTTGAACATGGGCAAAGCCTCCGCTGGCTGTTGCTGATCCAGGCACCATCGTGGGCGAGGAAACGTGGAACAAGGATTTGATGCCAGTCAGCTCCATCCAAGGCATTCTGGCATCAATAATCATTGACCATTGTCCTCTAGCAACCAGGTACCTGCTCAGGTGGGTGGAGTCGCTAATATAACCTCAAGCTTCTTCGCTTTTGTGCAAACTTGGCGTGGCTGGCCAATAACTCGGCATGCGGTGTCTGAGCTGAAGAGGGTCAAAGCCAGCCTGGCGCTTTGCTGGCTAGTCCTTCGAGTTATCTGATACCATGGCTATGCTGGCAAGGTCCTTTCCCAAACAGAAACACCCGAGACAATGCGGGAAGCCCCAGGTATCGCGGCCGCGTGGAACTGGGCACAATGCGCGCGGAGCAAGTCCATGGCAGGCAAGCGAATGATGAGCACTATCAACTCCCGACATCCCAAGCCAGTTGTCAACACGACCGTGTGAGCCAATACAATGCCGTTGGCGCCCTTCGCCTCGGGGACCCAAGCTCATCCCCTCCGCAGGACCTATCAGGTGAGAGTATCAACGCCTCCAACGCCTCAAAACAGCCTCGAGCAAGCCCAGGAGCAACGCTATTGCGAACTCGGGGTTGACATCTGGACATTTTTGGCATATTTTCAAACCCCAGCTCCACATGGTGAAATTTGGTCCCTTCAGCCCTGCGGCGCAAGGCAAACTCAGTGAGTTATGCTCGCAGACACAACAAAGACGCGAGCCGCAGAATCCGCACATTGGCAAGGGACAAGCACCCACGGCAACTCGAGGGATCTGGCAAGCGGCGCGCAACTTTGATTGACTCCAGCGCCTTTCCTCCCTCACAGAACCACCAAGGGCGTATCCGGGGGCCGTTCCAATGTCTCATCCGCCTCGTAAGCCACCCTCTTGTACTTGGCGGGCATCTGCCCCAACGTTGCCGTGGTATTCGCAAGCGCAAACACCAGCGGCGGCGTCCCGTTGACGAGCGTCATGAGGCTCGACAGAACCAAGGCGTCAAACGCCCTCATCGGCCGCGACAAGTGCGCCGGCGCCGTGACGTCGTCGGCCGGCGGTCCCACGTCGACAAAGTACCACATCCGGCCCGAGGCGTAGTACAAGTTGGCGGGGGACAAGGCGTGCGACATGACGGGCTTGCCATTCTGCGGCGGCGGCACGCGAGCCTTGTCGGCGTCGACGGGCACGGCGGGAGGCGAGGCGAGGCCCTGGGACCGGGCGAGTGCTTCTCGGTAGGCGTTGAATGCGCGGGCGGCGTGGGCGTCTCCCACCGAGGGCGTGGCCCGTCCGACTTCCCAGAGCGTCGTCTCTTGTTTGCCGTCTGCGGATTGGAGAATGGCCCATGTGTGCCCGACTGGCTCTCCCGAGGGCAGCGTGTCGTGGCCCAGGGACGGGTCGGCATCGCGGAGGCCGAACCAGACGTCTACCTGGTCGCCCTCGCTCATACACGCCAGCATGGCCTGGTACGTGATGCCCGCCGTGGGCTGCGGCGCCCTGAGGAGGAATTCGTCGGCGTAGGCTATTGCGGTTGGGCGCTGGAAGGAGATGTGGCCTGCTGCCTTGAACAGCTCGTCTTTGGCTTCGGCGCCGGGTGTCGAGGCCATGCGATCCATGATGGGCGGGTATTGTCGTGTACGGAAGCAGCGGTATCGACGATGTTGGGGTCAAGATTGAGACATTGACGTGACATGTGTAGGGCGTATTGTAGTTGCACACCATCGAGCCGACTGCTGCCGTCTAACTAGTAATAAGGAGGCTTTGCGGCGTTCCGCAGCGCCGGACCCAGTATCGTCCCGATCGCAATCTGCTTGTCATTTTCCGAGATTGTCATGTCGAATGCTGTCGCCATGAGCAAGACGACTTGAACTGTCGCTTGTCCTCGTATGAAGAAGCCGCTGACCGTCGGACGAGCTTGAACTCTGGATGCAGCCTCCATACAACGACCGAAAGTTCCCTCCTACGACCGGCAATCAAAAGACATGTCTTTGTACATCTACGTGAGATGACTATTGGTCGTCTGATTGGGCGCCATCTCGACAACCACGGACATTGGAATAAGTTACGGTCGGGGCGGTATGAACCCCCAACAGAATGTCCGTAATAGGTATTCTAGGACCATGGCTGTTTATAAGCAATAGAGAGTACTTTAAATCTTTAGCCGGAAAAGTATTTGTTTAGTCCTTTGAATCTATTTGAGTTGCGTTTGTGCCAACTCAAAGACGTCAACGAGTCGCACGGATGCCAGGATTGGATACTTACTGATGGCGGCTAGAGAACCGGATGTCTCTGCATTCACCAGCAACTAGCCAGACATGAGCGCCACGAGTTACATACATTGACCTGAGATTGAGCTGCCCGTGGGACTGTTTCGTCGACTTCTTCTGTGTCAGAATACCACGCCCGCGCATCCCAAAGGCCCCGAGCACGGCCGAGATTCCACGGGGAGTGTGTTCGCGAAGCAGAATTATAATTCACAGGCTTGATGTCACGGTGCAAAATTTTAGGGTTTTGCCCATGCAGCTATGGCAAGACGGAGAGAATTTGGCGCAGGACAGACACGCTCTGACCGACAGTCATGTTGTCTAGTTTATCGAGAGAGCCTCCCGCGATAGATTCGAGACAGATTTGGTCACGACGTGGATCAACCAAGAGAAGTTTGGCAATTTGCTTCTATGATGAGTTAGTGTCTGATACCGAAAAGGAAACAGGAAGGGCAGTACAGACGTGTGCTAATTTACCAAGATGCCCTTTCCGTCAACCATCGAGAGTTATTGAGTCTTGCCTTACCGTGAGCCTGCTTAAGGACATGCTCCTTTACTGTGCTAACATTCCAATAATGAATCAGGATACCCTCACCCCCGCTTCTGAGCACTCGTACCAGGTAGATTGGCTGGGTAGTTGGCGTATGTGCTCCAGTCTGCCGTCTTGTGTCCGCTTGAGATGGGACACTCAGGCTACTAAGGAGTGCATCCGTGATGGCATTGCCGGCACTGCCGAGGCAGTATTTTTTGACATTTTCCTCGTATGATTGTGGATTAAAACCATGGTCCATAACAATAATTTTGAACCGAATTTGATCGTGTATCTGGACAACAATGCGGCCCTTTTCATCTGCGTTTCGGTCCCCGCCGATGATTCACTGAAATCTTCCTCGATGCTCAGCCCCAGCATCATTATAAGTGACCTGAGCTCCGTAAGGAGAGTCCAAGTCTTTCACGATGAGCTGCTGTTGATTGCCGAATGTTATGCTGAAGTGTTTCTTGCTGAGACCACCTATATCAGGCGGTCATCACGGCCATACTGAAGTGTTTGAGCTTCCTGATGCAGCGGTAGAGCTAGAGACAAGGGGTTCCAGATGGTCTTTGTAGCATAAAATGGAATCCCTTCGGTGGAATAAGGGTATATTTGAGCAATAAGATCCGCATCATCCGTCTTGTCCTTGGTGAAGAATGAATAGTGCCGACGTGGAATGAGGGAAGAGGCTTATGCTATTGCTGAAGGGGCCTGAAAGTGCCTGCCAGTCGACTTTATGTTTCATCTTCAGGCGGGAAGACAACTTGTCCTACACCAGATATTTGCCAGACATCGATTGATGTTTGTCAGCTCTCGCCCAGTCGTGTCCGCGAGGCTGCAGCCTCTTAGCCGGGCGGGAGCTGAGGTGGTAACCATTCAATATCCGCCACGAGTTGCAGTCGAGGTTCCGGACACGCCTCAAAAAGCAAATAAAATAATTATTGGACAATGCCTGTTGATGCGACCACATAAGCAAGCCATCAGTCAAGGCGCGCAATCACAGAACCACAACAAGGCGTCAAGTAGTCGCTCAACGCCGCCAGCCTGCCCTCCGATGTTTGCTTCCCCCTGTTTTCCAGTTTCCCCGTTCCCTTGGCTCCCAGTTTTCTTTGGTTCTAAGTTTGCCTGGTTTGCGATTCCCTTGGTTCTCGTTCTCTTTGTTTCGTTAGTCTTCCGCTTCTTATCTCCTTTCATATCCCCCTACTCCTTGGTCCTCCTCGAATGTCACTAGAACCAGGCGTCCCTGCCCCTGTAGTTGGTGACTATATACTTTGCGATTTATATTATTCCCTATCATAGATCAGGGTCCCATATGACACATAACTTCGCCGGCGCCCCCTCCAAGCATTTGTCTAACAAGCAATCAAATCATATTTCTTACTTGTACAACTACCTGGGTACGAGACGCTAGCCACGATTTTGCATTGCCGCCAACATGTCTGGTTCGCCTTCAAGACCGACTGCCGTCGACCTGTTAGCCTTAAATGACGCCCAGCTTCGTGAAATTATGGAGCAAAGCCGGCAACCTGATGGCTCATATGCGCTTCTGGTGGCTAATGACTTTGGTCCACGGTCACAAGAAGAGCGAGATGGCCTTGCCTAAAGACTCAAGTGTGTTGTTCTATTGCCATGCCATTCTTTTCATTTCCTCATTTCTTTTTAGGGCCATACAGGCAAACTCATGTCCGCTTAACGTCGACAAGCTAGACGCGCTCTTGCAGCAGGTCTCTAACAGAGACGATGATGATGATGCCTCATGCCCAAGCCGAAGGCGAAGAAGCGAATCAAGCGAATCAAGAGTAACCGGATCGATGCCAGATGTACGAGAGTCATATGCGTAATACGAGACGGAGGCTTGCGATAACCTTGTCAAGGATGTTGGTCGTCCACTCTATCTAATTGGCATGCTGGAATCCGTTTCCCACGACCCCGGAGCGCACCAGAAGATGCTGTGCCTAATTTGGAGAATACCCTATCCTGCGACCTGTCGGACCGTGAAGGTTACCTCTGACACGCGGTATTCTGAAGCTAATGGCTACGGTGGCGTAACTTTCGCGGGTGGCGAAAATAATCACGCTTAAGGACGACGAAACACTCGACTTTGTCCGCACTCGCGTGTTGTGTGTGAGGGCGTATCAGGAAGAGAGAAGCCTAACCCCCCTGGGGGGTTTGCTGCGGAAGCCGAGGAGAAGAAGCTTCTCGAGCGGGCGGCCTCGCCTGCAGACCAAGTTCAAAAGACGGTTGACATGGAGTCGCATCGGAGAGGCCAATACCGGCGGCGAAGCGTGCGGCTTGCGGCCTCGACTGCCGACATTGACAGTTTGGGAAGCGAATACGCAGCTGTAGAGAAGGTGTTGGGGAAACGAATCCGGAAGCGAGGGCGCGGTCGCACCACCAAGTACCTGGTCCAGTTTAAGGGCTACTCTGACAAGTTTACCATGTGGACGGCAGCGTAAAGCCTCCCCCAAGACGCCGTGGGCGAGTTGGAGCGAGTTGCTGCTACGTGACTGCTGCCTTGGGCGCCTCTTGGCATTCGTAACTAAATGAGCTTGCTGTACACATGCAGAAGGTTGTAGTTTTTGAACTCCTGTTTCTTGTCACGATGTGGACCACTCATTCTATGCAGGCTGGGTGTAAGCGTGGTCGCTTGAATAGCCCTCAACTCGTGGTTTCCCAGGTCGGCTGTGCAGTCTCGGGCTTGACAATACGCTTGGAGAGTGGAGGAATGACTGACGAGGATTCACGAGGTCAAGGCTCGAACCGATGGTCAAAGGTCCTTGGTTTCCTTGGCTTGTTTATACAAGGCAGCGGCGTCAATGTTACACAGATGTCACGTCACGGCACGGACCGACCCGTAAACCTGACAATCGACGGTTACACAACATTGAAGATGGGGCCTTTCTTCCAGGCCGAGAGGCTCACAGAAACAACCAACTACCACGGTTGAAGGCCTGTTGTCAGGTGTAGTCGTGAACCGAAAAGACGTGTGTTGTATGGGCAGTCGGTGCGTACCGGTCGTAACTAAGGACTCGAGTCTCGTGCGGATACATCCATGTCAATGACGTATGGACATCAATTGATGTTTTAGGTTTTGGATGGGCACTTTACGCACTTGTGCTTGCCTAGTTGAGTTTCCAACTACCCGTCGTCAACTAAGCAGCTACCCGCCTCGTTGCCGACGAGTCAAACCTGGTATTCATGCATGTGGTTTCTTTTTTTCTAACCGGCATTAAACCTACCGTCGACATGTACCCAGACTGTTGCTTTACGGGTACCCGCGGACACCAGACACGTCAATGCGTTTCACCGGGTATCCAATGAGTCCCCGTATTTACACTGGTGCCAAGCCCGAGTTGATTGACGTCAATTATTCAATGTCGTGCTGGTTCCAACTTCCCGGCAACTTGAACATGTGCAGGTTGGCATCGCCGCTTCCTGCGTCTCGTTGACATTTCCATCCTCTGCCTCCCACGACAGTCACCATGGCCATTCGCGAAGCAAAGTACAGCGACCTGCGGGAAATGGCCGAGGCCGCCGCCGCCGCCTTCAAGGACGAAGAGCTCTTTGGCGAGCTGATGCACCCTCGCCGAAAAGAGTACCCCCAAGACTTTGTCGCCTACTTCGAGAGGCGCTTTCTCCGCCACTGGAACGACCCCAACTGCCACCTCGTCGTGGGACTCGACAAGACGACCGGCAAGGTGGTTGGCTGCGCGCAATGGGAGAGGCAAGGCGTCCAGCCCGCGTCGTGGATAGGTGAGGACATGACATGACGCACCGACGTCTCGGATATCCCGCATGAGCGCCGTTCCGGTCGCCGATGCGTCGTCGGCAGTTTGCTTGGCCCATCTTTGCCTTGAACTAACCACCGTCTAACAGGCTCAATCATGCAAAGCACATCCAGGGCGTACCTCCAAAGCCTAGACTACCTGTGGCCGAATCGGGCGGCCGACCCCGACAAGATCAACATTCTCGACGAGACGTTCCCGCTGTTTGCCCATCACTGGACCGAGTCCCGACGGCAAAACTGGTACCTCGAGTTCCTGTGCACGCATCCCGGCTACCAGGGCCAGGGCCTGGGCAAGGAGCTCGTCCTGTGGGGGGTCAACAGGGCCAAGGAGGACAAGATTTGCGCGTCCGTCATCAGCGCCGCCGGCAAGGAGGCCTTTTACGGACGCTATGGCTTCGTGGAAGTCGGGAGGGCCAATGTCGGTCGCCTCGGCGCTTGTGGGATTCGAGGTGGTGCCATTCTGTTTTGCGAGGGACATTTGTCGACGTGAGACGTGACGTGGCCATGGACGGACAAGTGGGTATAACTACATGTACTTACCGTTGCTTCATCAAGAGGTTGCGTATTTGCTGTGCTTCCAAACTGTCGACCGAGTCTGCTTGGGCCAAACGTGCCGGCCGTCCAAGCCAGTTGTCCGGTGACCTTTGGTCCCTCATGACGCTCCATGACCTTCATGTCTGAAAGAAGAAAAAGTATCTGTATTCGTTTCTGCCGGGGTCCATGCCTGTGTTGCGCACTCGCAAAGTGGGTGCTCTGCGATCGAGACGGTTTTCCATTTCCTCCTCCCACACCGAGACTGAGTCTTGTCCGGAGACGAGAGTTGATACGCACCGGCAATGCCAGATTTTGCCTCCAATGCGAGCAAGCTGTCCGAGAGTCTGTCCATCATGCGCAAACTCCATCACTTGCTGCGTGTGCTGGGTTCTCGAGTCCACCTGTTGAGTCGGCTCCAAAGGTGAGCCAAAAGTGACGGCGAGTCAAAGGCAACGGCAAACGGGCATCGCAGACTCGAGTCTCCTGCGGACAGAGGACAATGTATTCACCATACCGGGACAATGCCTCCTCAATAGCTGCCTTTACAGACGGATAAGCGTTGACATGCAACATTCAATGGTCTCTCTGTTCGTGGCCTCCAACGATGCTCTCGTGACGAGCACTTGTCACCACCTTCTTCGCCGCTGGCCGTCACCTTCTCTGCACACACAGGCGCGCGCGCCCCTCGTCGATTTCGATTCGGTCAAGACGAGCCGGTTCCTTCCCATCCCTCGCTGGGCAAAGAGCTCCAAGGCGTCGATGCAGCTCTGCCGCTCGCATGCCATGCCCCCGAACACCGCCTCCAGAGCAGGCAGCTCGGCCAGGTCGACGCAACCCACGCAAGCGCGCGCCATCAAGCGCAACCGGGGATCCGAATCCCCCGTCTACCTCTCGTCCATTGCCGTCGTCACGCCCGAGGAGGCGAGGCAGGCCCGCGAGCGCTTCTTCGACGCCCTCGGCTGCGCCGACCCGCACCCCGGCATGCGAAGAGCCATCTCGAGCCCCGACCAGCTCACCGAAGTCCAGCTCGCCCGCCTCTTCGACATGCTCCACGCCTGCGGCGCCGCGACGGACGATCAGGCCACCCTATTGACGACGCGGGCGAGCGTCGACGGCTTCGTCGACGCCGTCTTCAACGACTGGCGGAGCGACAAGGAAGACGACTTAGTGAAGCCCGAGCTGGAGTTTCTGGTCGAGGCCGAGGTTGTCGCGGGGACGATATGCGGTGCGCTTTTTTCCGTCGATCCCTGACTTTTTGATTTCCGCTGTGCTGACACGGGCACATACATGTAGTCACTCCCGATTGTCATGGCAATGTGAGTAGCTGCCGAGCGTCCGACACGTGCAACGCCGTGGTTTCGGCCGTCGTGTCGTACAGCTGCAACCCTGCCATGCTCAAGATGGAATATACCGCCGTTGATCCGTTTTCCGGACAGCCCGAGGCCTTTTGCCCCCTGTGGAGGAAGGATATTCGCTGGGCGGAGGCGGGCTGGAAGGACGCCCTCCGCCAGACCATTGAGGGCAAGCTCGTGTCCAAGATTCATCGCTACAACAAGCATTTGGCCGTGTGGCATGCGCGCAGGTTGATCCAGGACTGGAGCAAGGGGAGTATTTCTCTGGGGCCACATACGAGTACATTGGGGTTTGTTGGAAGGGAGGCCGTGGCGTGGGTTGTCATGGGTGTGGGAGGGCAGTCGGTGCCGTCAGGGTCGGAGGCATGATTCCAAATAGCTCTACTATTCTCCTGGCTTGCTGTGGGGGCTGATTTGTTTGCAATTGATTTCGAGTTTAACCGCAGCCTGCAATGTCTACGGAATGGCTTTTCTCCACGGCGTCTTTCCTGCATGCCAAAAGCCGCGGTGACTGTGTCTTGGAGGCCCTGCATCGATGTTCTTATTCGCCGGCTTGATTGGCTCTGCCTGGAAACTAGCTCGCGTAGTATTGCTCATTGCTTCATTTTGTAACACCAATTGCCTTGCTTGTCATGGTAGGGCGCGTGTTATCATAAAGACAAGTCGGCGTCCTGGCCACGGCGCGCCCGGTTGTGTAAACGAGCCTGGAGGTGACTTGATAGGTAGGGCATAAACAGCCATCGCCTTTTTGGGTGTCCAAAGAGACATGGGTAGTTTGAGGCACTTATTTGGAATCTACAAGACAACTGGTTCCATCACCTGAATAGCCGTACAAATTGATTGATCGAATAGCCGGGAAATACTTCGGGCATTTCGGGAGTTTGTCGTCCAAGTTAAACCCGACCATGGGCCGGGCCGCCGGATGGGCTTACTCGATCCGTTCTTAAACCCAGTTTACATCCCTTTTAAGCAGCGCAAGTCTCACGCACATAGCCTTGCTACCGTATCTCAATTTGATTCACAAGCAGTGTCATCAATCCGCAATGTCTACCGGCCAGATCACTCTGCTCGACCTTCCCAGCAAGGAACCTTGCTCCTCTTGGTCCTTGAACCCGTGGAAGAGTATGTCAAGATCTCAGTCCCAGACAGAAAGCAGTAATTGACCATGTCCTTCAGCTCGGATGCTCCTGAACTTCAAGGGCCTCGATTACAAGACGGAATGGGTGTGTCCAACGTCCCGTGTGCTGTAGCATCAACACTAATGACAACAGACCGAATACGAGGATATCAAACCCAAGGTTCAACCGCAGTAAGCTCCCCAAGGCTGGTCTTTTTGTAAAGACGAGCTGTCAACTACAAAAACATACATCACTAACCCCGTAGTCTGCCTCCGAATGAGTCCGGAACCCCGTACACCATCCCGACCGTCATCCTGCCCGACAACATCTGGATCATGGACTCGCGCAAAATTGCGAACCACATGGAGGAATCCCACCCTCAGCCCAGTGTGCATCTCGACTCGCCCATCCTCCCCAAAGTGGAACAACTGACTTCCGACGTCTTCCACCACCTTCTTGCCGTCTACGTTGCCCGCATCCCCGTCAACCTGCTCACCAGCCACAGCGCCGACTACTGGTACACCACGCGCGGCGAGGCAGTCGGCATGCCAGTGGGGGAGTTTGAGAAAAAGTACGGCGGCGAGGTGGCTTATTCCAGAGCAGGGCCCTTCCTCCAGAAAATAACAGCCTTGCTACGCGACAACGACGCCGGGCCATTCTTCATG